TGCTCACTGCTTATGTTAGCTCAATTCTTTCCCCCACAGCAAAAATCTCATTACGGTGATCCCTAACACCTAGGTCCTGAATCGTCTTTCTTACCATGTTTAACAAGCACAACTGCATATATTTTCTTTTAACATAGGATGAACAACTATTGTCAATCTTAACAATAAGAAAAATAGAGGCTTAAAGTTTAAGAATATATTGTCTTCTATAGTCACACCTCCTTCCCATGCTATCAAGGAGTCGAGGGGGGAGTTAGTGAACCTTCCCACTCAATCAGTCAACCTTAGGCACATGTAGGGGAGGGGCTAAGGATATATAAGCAAAGAATGCCAGGAAGCACCTCCCTCACCATTTTCTGTGGCTGTTGGGAAGTCATAGGATCTATATTTGAGTGTGGACTTTCCAGGGCAGCTGTAAATGGGGCGCCCACTCCCCCACCCTATGCTCTGTTTTGAAAAAAAGAAAGAAAATGAAAAAAAAGAATTTCAACCAAACCCTCAAAAGACCTTTGACCCTTTATCTTAAAAAAAAAAAAAAAAAAGACCCCTCCCCCACTTTCTGGAGGCAAGGGCCAGCTCTAAGCAGAGGAGCTTGGTACAGCTATGCAATGAGGAACTAAAAATAACAGCTATTATTTTTTTTCCTTTTCTGAGGCAGGGTCTCACTATGTAGCCTAGACTCAAATTACAACCCTTTTGCACCAGCTCCCAGTATAAACACAGATTTTTGTTTTGCTTTTGCAGCACTGGGGATTGAACCCAGGACCTTGGCAAATACTCTACCACTGAGCCACATCCCTGGCTGGCTTTCACCCGCCTCTATTGGCTGACCATGAATAGCCTGTTAGAGGACAGCAGGTTAAAGTTTAATATGTGTGTGTGTGTGTGTGTGTGTGTGTGTCTGTCTGTCTGTGAGACACTAGTCCTTGAGGATCCCTGTGTTCGAGGCTGAGTGATAAGAAATCCTACCCTTCTACTATTTTTTCTACCAAAGAGGAAACTGAGGCTCAGACAGAGAAGTTAAGCAACACCTGGCCAGAGTCTAACAGCCTGGCTCCAGGCCTGCGTCTCTGCCTGCTCCACCGGGGATTCTCTCTACCTGCAGCAAATCCCTGCTCCTGGAAGAAGAGGGCTGTCACCCTTGATCTCAAAGGCTCCCCCAGCTCCACTGGCTTTGATTGTAATCAAATTAACAGATAAACAAGATTTATTAGGCTCCTAATTACCTTTGCAACACAATTTGCATATGGACAATGTGCTAATCACAACTGGCTTTTAAAACCACTCACTCATTAAGAGCCTGGGTGAGGAAGGCAGTAGTTGATGGGATTAAGTTCAGGTCACTGCAGGGACAAGGAAGGTGCCCTCCTGCTCTGGAAGTGACTAGACCTCACCAGGCATCTCCCAGCCTCTATCTTGGAGTGATGGGGAAGGTGTTTAACATGACTCAGCGTCTCTCTCAATGGGGAAGATGGCCCTGGTACAGCCAGTGGTGAGGTTGAAAACAGGAGCTAAAGACAAGTTGTGTTAGCTCCCATTCCTCACCAGGGTCATGGGTACTCTGACCAAGTGCCTTGGAGGTAGCATGGCCCCTTCCTACATCTCTCTAGGGACATGCTGAACTCTCTAGCATATACACACTGCCCAATCCTTAACGAGAAGGAAAAGGGCCCTTTGAAGATGTGGGAGTCAGCTTCCCAACTGTGAAGCCTCACTCTTTCTCTTTTACTGTCCCTCCACGTTTAGGAAATTGCATTAGAGGTTTAACAGATGCCAGGCCCCTCCAGAGCTCCCCCGGAAATGAGGGATTTCTCCCACAGGGACATGCAGGAAGGTTACAAGGAAAACATCAGCCAACTTCTAGTCACTGGGTATTAACTGTCTTCACAACAGTGGTCTTAAGGATCAGGCACTATTATTGCTCAATAGTTGCCCCACCACAATGTGGAGCCTAGGGTGGGCCATGGATCAGAGAAGGGTATGGGTTTTTCCAAGATGGTTTTTCAAAATCAGGCAAAGAGCCAGCACTTCCTTACTCACCTTGAGCAACCAACAGCAGGGATAGTCAAGCACAGCACACTGTTGTGTGCCCTGTTCTACCTCCACTAGCTGTGTGTTCTTGGACAAGTCACTTTCCTACTCTGAGCCAAGTTTCAGTTTTCTTCCCAGTTCTGCCATTCAGAGGTGGGTATTGTCCAGACCTGCCACCTTGCTCTGTTCCCAAGAGGGAGCCCTCATGCCATGAACAGATCAGCCTCCCATGCTCATCAATGTCTACCAAATCTCCAGTTCCCCAGCCTGCCTCTGAAAGGCCTCCCTAGAGGCCACTGAACACATGCCACCTGGGTTTTCAAGTTCTCAGACCCCCTGATTTGTACTGTCTGTTATTCTGCCGGACCTCCAGGGCTCTGACCCTGCCATGGTGGCAGGGGAAGCAGGACCCCAGGTGCTGGCCAGTGGCTCTTCAGCCTGCACTACTTCCAGCCAAAGCCAGTTTGAGTTAACAGAATGCAAGTAGCCTTTCCCGGACCAGCTTCTTGACAGTCAAGACCCCTAATCCTCAGGCAGCTCCAACCTCAGCCCTGACTACCTTTCCCCTGGATTCAGGACCCAGGCCTCCTCCCCTACCCTTAGCCCTGCTTAATCTGCCAGCCCTAATTTTGTCCCAAGGAGTCTTCCTCTCCCACTGATAGATGGAGCTCCTAAGCAAAGATATTCCTTGCTTCAGTTGAATACCAGGACCAAATCTTCCTGTGAGCCCAATTCAATGAAGACCCAGTAAAGGACTGGTTGTGTTCAAAATCTGTGCCACTCTGGGTCTTGAATAACCATGGCCAGACAGGTCTGGGACAGGTCTCTAGTGGAAGCCACAGGGCTCTGGCCCATCACCACCATCAACTTTTGTGAAATAACTTGGAGGAAAGAAAGTTGGGAAGGACATGGTAGTGGGTGACGAGAGGTGGGATGGTTCTGAAGGGATGGCTGTCTAGATAGATAAAGCTGGGCATGACAGCACACATGAACACCCCTGTAATGCTAGCAGCCAGAAGACTGAGGCAGGAGGACCAGTTGGAGGCCAGCCTGTGCTATAAAGGGAGATCCTGTCTCAAAGCACCAAAATGAAAATGGTCAAGCTAAAATACCGTAAAATCAGGGGCTGGAGAGATGGTTCAGTTTCTAGCACCCACATGGTAGCTAACAACTGTCCATAACTCCAGATCCAGGGGATCTGACACCTTTTGGCCTCTGTGGCCATTGCATGGCATGGGTACACTGATATACATGAAGGCAAAATAGTCATACACATAAAATAATTTAAAAATTACTTTTAAAACATCACAAGGTCAACTGCCAAAGTTCTATCTCTTCAGTGACAGCTTGGCTGGGGCAAGATGTAGAAGGCAGGAGGAGGCAGGTTTGCCTCTCTAGAGCACTGGTTCTCAAATAAGGTGACACCCCCACCCACCAATGTGTACGGTGCTCCTGTTTCTGCAATGCCTGGGGAAGGGAAAAACAGTAGGGCAGGGAGGGACCATGATGCTCAACACCTTGCAATTCTCTACAGCACATACAGTCATCCTGGCCAGGTGCTAACTTCTGGGAAACACTGGTATAGGAGGAGGTGGATGTACCGTCAGGGCCTGGTCAGTGCCTAGCCAGGCAGTGCCCTGTGGGCTTGCTGTAGTTTGAGATGCTTCTGACTGAGGCAGGGTATCAGCTTTGATGCGTGCCAAGGTTCTGTCTGGTTCTGATAGTTAACAAACCTAATTACTTTTAGAAGATACAGTTGACACCAAGTTCTGACAGTGCCTGGACCATGCAGCCCAGGTCTGACTACAGCTTATTCCAGGCCGTGAATCCTTTGGTCAGGCGGGATAATGAGAGCTGAGCTGACTGCAGAGGTCTCGGTCATTAGCAGGGACCCACAAAGGGAGTGCAGACAGCATGATGGGCCCTGTTGTTATGGGGTCAGCCTGCAGAACACTCAGAGCATCAGCTCAGCAAGGTGCCTGAGAGATAATTAATGGGGAATTTCCATTCTTGCAGGTGGTCTTCTGAGGCTGGTGCAGGGCAGCCCAGCTAGTTCCTGGGTGCCTGGCAGCCTCTAGCAAACCTGTTCCTGCTTAGAATCAGGGTTCTGGTAGGCCTGGTTCTGCTACCCTGTCCCCCACCAGCTCTGGGGTCATCCTGAGACCTGTCCCTGGTTTCCCTGAGTGTGCTCAAGCCTGCTCTGGATGGAGGGAAGGCTCTGAGCTCGTGATTCCTAATGTTCTACAAGGATCTGAAAGGCGGGAAAACCCAGCTGTCTCCACCTGACTTCATGGGGGTAGAGGCCACATTCTTCCCAGGGACTTAAAGACCAACGGCATCTCAAAGGCCCCACCCCTAAGCCTTGCACCCCAGGGGGTTTTCCAAGGAGGCTGGAGCACCAGAAGGGTGGACCCTCAGTGCCTGTCCATCTCTGAAGGCTTCCGTATGCTCACCTGTGCGACAGAGTGGGTTTCATGGAGCTCATGGAGTTGAGGGGGGGCTGCATGGGGAGTTTCCCAGGAGGGTCGTTCTGGCGGCTCTTCTGATGTCGGAGTAGCAGCAGGCGGCCAAGCTCCTCACACCAGGAGGACAGCAGAGCTGCAAGAAAGGACATATGGTCAGTATGCACAGTGGTCACCACACCCCACCACACTTAGTTTCTGTGGCACCCTCCTCAGACAGGGTGTTCCTGACACTGGTTTCGCTCCTGGGAGATTTGCTAAGGCTTCTTGGGAGGCCTCGGTGCTCTAAACCATGAACGTGGGCTAATGCTCCTGAAGGAAGACCCAAAGCATCTGGGGCCAAGAGTCTTCCAGGAGGGCTGGTTGGGATTCCCACCAGGCTGAGAGGCACCAGTGGAAAGTGCAGACAATGAAAAGAAAGGCAGAGATGGAGCCAAGTGTGAGCAGAAGGAAGGTGCAGACACGTCAGGGTGTGTCTAGGTACTGCTGCCCCCCTCAAACTGTCAGGGGAGCCCACAGCCTTGTACTCTAAACATGGCTTCTCACCATGGATGTGCCAAAAATCATTAAGGTTTGGATATAGTCTATGGCTTTCTTGAAGCCTGATGATGGCTCAGGAGTATTCGTTGGGCTCTCTGAAACTCACTCAGAACTTGTCCACTGAACTTGTTGACCCATCACACACAAACATACTGCTGGACCCACAAGCTTGGGATGATAGAAGATTTCTAGGGCAGAAGGTGGTAAGGGCTAAAGATAGTACTATGCAGAGCATACAAGAGCCACAGAGCTCACAGGAAAGGCTAGGCTTGTCACCACTTCTCTGTGAGACCCCTGAGGAGCTTACAAACCCTCTCTGAGCCCCAGTTTCTTGGAGGTAAACAGGGATGAAGATTCTTGCCCTATGGCTCCAGCTGTTCAAGTCATTTGCTCACAGTAACTACAGGTAGAGAGTGGCAGAGATGGAGATGGTGCACCTGTTTTGGAAGAAACCCTTCAGCAGGCAAAATCCCTTCAATAAGTCAAACCCCAGGTGGCTTTGGTTTACTAGCTTCTCCCATTTACTTAAGGAAGCCAAGTCACCCACTGTCAGCCCTGGAGGAAGATGCCAAAATGCACAAATATCAGAGTGCTAGGGATTTCAAGCTGCCAAGCCCTGGGTCCCCCTTAGCTCACAGCCCCACTGGGTCTCACTTGTATGTTGTGGGCTAAGGGACAAGTAGGACTATAGCCCTCAAGAGAGCACCTCTTTCTGCCCTAGGGGCAGTGGACACACTGATGCACCCTGCCCCTCTCTGTGGGTGCCCTTGCTGCTACCTGCACAGGAAAGAGTGTGTGTGCAAGGGGAAGATCCCACTCCCAACACTCATCTTCCCAGAAGCTAGTGAGGCTCCCAGTAGGTGCTCAGCACACATCGGCTGTGGCTGGAAGGGAAGCTGCCTATCCAAAAGAGGCTGGGCCAGACAGTGTGCTTCCAGATTGCTCCATTCTTCTCTAGGTTCTAGTTACGCTTCTTGCACAAGAGCACTGGGCATTTGGGAGCTCATCTGCACGCCAAGCACGAGGCCCACAGGATCGCAGTGCTGGGAGGCTTGCTGCCAGCACAAAGGATGAGTACAGATGGCGCTGCCTGCTAACCACCTCGCCATCCAAGTCCTGCTCTCCTGGGTGCCAGCCAGGCCACTATGGGATTCAGGGTTTTCCTTGGTTACCACAAGGGGGGCCCATTTGGTGAAGCGCTAGCCTTGTCATCCTGTCTCAAGCTTCTGGAAAGATAATCAAGGTGGGCAGCTGGGTGTAGGGCCTGGCCATGGGGACTGGTAGGCTGTGAGTGAGATGTATGTCAGGCAGTCATGCCTTCACATGCCTGGAAGTCCACAACATTGTGCCAAGAGGGTAAGAGGGGCAGTACTGAGGACCCTACTCTCCCTACTGGGAGCTTAGTGAGCACAGAGGCAGACCACAGCCACTCCTCATGATGTAGTTTGAGTTCTTACGATGGAGCAGACCAACAGGAGCTGTTTTGAGGTAGACACCACATGGGGATTTGCAGCCAGAAAGAGAGTTTGGGCATTGTTGGAGAACAAGGAGAGTGGACTGGCCAGGCAGAGGCAGGGGATGGAGTGACCCAGCCAGGTAGAGCCAAGCACACTCTGATCTGGAGAGGCCTGTCTGCTTCTCTAAGGCAAATATGGCCCGCTTATCTTCAACATGTGCATAAGCTACATGAGGTACAAGTCCTAGATGGGCAGCAGGGACAGAGGCATGCTGTGGTGTCATCCCAGGGAACCCCACAGTAGAACAGTTCTAATCCTTGCCTATACCCCTCTCTGTGGCAGGCTGGTCAAAACTGGTCCATCTGCTAACCAGGCAACCAACCTGGTGAGCCCTTGCCTTGTCCCAGGAGTCCCATTCCTAGGGGCTAACACATCTGACACCAAAGCCCTTTTCACCCTTGGACAACAGTGAGGATTCCATGTCCCTCCCCTCCTTTTACAATGTGTAGCCTGCTTAATTCCAGTATAGCTCTTGGCACACTTATGGCTGCCTCTCCTGAAGAGGGTCTGCTCTCTGCCTGGTGCTTCTACAGTCAGAGGTATACAGCTATCTACAGAGCTGGCTACAGATGTCACTCAGATCTGAGGCTACTCCCAGAAGATGAGCATTTTGGGGGGGGGGGGGAGGGCTAAAGAGGAGTAGGGAGGGGTGTTCCAGCTCTACCACAGTTTTTCTAGGCCCTTCCCAATCTGGAGTGTTTGTGTGAGGAGGGCCATCGGCCTTCTGCCCATCAGGAACTGGGAACCCAGGGAGCTGCTGGAAGCAGAGGTCAGCCACAGCCAAGTACGGGGGCATGGGAAGCCTGAATGTCTGAGACCAGGCATTCAGAGGGCCAGGGGTATGGTTACAGCAGACATACTGTTCCCTCTGCTCCAGCTGCACCCATGGTAGGGCCTGGTCTTCCTCAGGGCACAGCGCATTAAACTGCAATCTTATTTCTTGTGTGTAGTACCTAGGGAAAGCCCCCTAGAGGAGATCAGGAGGGCAGGTCTTGCAAGACATCCAGGTGCTAAGGTGGGTACAGCCCTGGGGATCTGGTCTCAGGCTGGAGGGAGTCGGGCTCCTCATTAGTCCATCAGGACACTGCACCAAGCATCCAACTGACTACCATGCTCATATTCATCATCCATGTGACCTTGGGCTAATTATATGATGTCTCTGGGACTGGCATAGAAGTGGGGACCACTTTGGACCCCAACAGCCTACTCTGAACCTCAAGCCAGATTTCAAACTACTAGCAAACTTCTCAACACAGTGAGCAAACATGCATAACCCAAAATATTTTAAATGATTCACTGAAGACTGACAACCTGGGTCCCATCCTGGAAACCATTGGTGCGAGAAGAGGACCGACTCCTGCAAACTGTTCTGACTTCCACACACGTATTTTGACATATACATGTATGCAAGCACATGTATCCAAGTACACATATGCGTGTACACACAGACTCATAAATAAAAGTTTTAAAGGATCCATTGGCTTCTCACTTTGCTAAGTGGCATTTTGTCACCAGACTCCTGCCACTCCAATCCACTGCCACCTTAGATGCCATGGTCTCTGAACACCCTACTGCATGTGGGGCTTCCTGTACTAGGTCAGACCCCCCTATAGATACTAGTAAGCTGGGAGATGCTCCCATGTACATCTTTACCTTGGGGGTCTGCTGCTGTGCTCAGGGCAAGAGTCCCAGCAGGCTGGGGTCAAAATCCAGTTTTACCCAATATCCATGTGACCTTGGGCTAATTATACGATGTCTCTGGGCCTTTATCTGTTGATGGGCAGAACACTAATCTCTGCTTGTCAGGAACATAATGTTTTGATGACACTAACACTGATAAAATGATTAAAACAGTGTCCAGCTGGTAGGTAAAGGGGTCTGTGTAGCATTGTGGTCTCTTGAGAGCCCCTGAGACACTTGCAGATGTACCTTACCCGCCTCGCCCTGTAGGTCCCAGGCCCACTGCTGCATGTCCCCAAGACACCACAGCATCCAGTCTTGCTGGCCTCTATCCTGTGCACACTTCACTGCTCTTCTGATGGTGCCTCCTCCAGGAAAGCTCCTAGTCTCTTCCAGAGGTGTTCCTGTAGCTCCCGAGGGGACCTGCGAGGAGCAGGTCCCTCTGCTTTCTAGCTATATGATGCCACACATACCATGGCTTGGAGCCCACTTCCCATCTGTAGAATGGGTTGCCTATTCCACAGAACAAATGTGATATATAGTTTGATCAGCTAACACTCTTGAGTGGGTAAGCAGAAGCAGAATGCTGGTAGTGAGGGGAATGGGGTTGGAGGCCAAGTACTCTAGAAGGCATAGCAGTTCTAGATAGGCAGCCCTGGCAACCCCGTCCACACCATGGCAGCCTGTAACACTGGGAGAGATGGAGGCCTCCACACCTAGCCACTTCCACTGTGTGACACCTTGACAAGGTCATAGGGCTGCTGTGAGGATGGCCTGAGTCACTACCCTGAGGCACAGGAACAGTACAGGCACAAGGTCAGACCCACAAGCTTGCAAGATGACTATTAGCATCAGCCCCATTATGCCTGACAGAGTGACAACAAGGAAGGCTCTAGGGCCTTGATATGTCTGTCGGCACAAGGTCAGACCCACAAGCTTGCAAGATGACTATTAGCATCAGCCCCAGTATGCCTGACAGAGTGACAACAAGGAAGGCTCTAGGGCACTTCTGATCCCAGGTCAGAGTACAGAGAAAAATGTGCTGGGTGGGTAAAAGCTCCAGAGGCCCATGGGGCACATATCATATATAGGCAGAAGTAGAATTCAGGCCCATCTGCTCATTCAGCATAAGCTTTGTGTGGGGCCTCTTCCTCCTTTCCTCTCTGAGCCACCAAGAGGGCAGAAGGGAGTACAGCCAGTGCCCTGCTGAGACACAGGAAGTGAAGGGTAGTTTCCCATCAACAGGCTATGCCTGTTCAGCTGATGCAAAGGCACCTGTGGCACCAGAAGGAAGGTGTTTCTGCCTCCCTGAGGTCCCTGGGGACAAGGCTAGGTGCCTCTATACCAGGGACGTACAGATAAGGCAGTGTGTCTATTGGATTCTGGGAATGAAGAACAA